CGCGCTATAAAAGGGGGTCCCGCGGACCGGGCCCGACCCAGGTCCCGCTGCCTCCGAGCCGCCGAGCCGCGCGCTCAGATAAATATGCGGGAGGGGTCGGAATTCCTCACTCGGCTGCATTCCGATCCCTCCCCCTCCGCCGTCGCCACTACCTCCAGCATCACCGTCCTTTGCTTGCTCGCTCGCTCGCTCGGGCGCGCGAACGGGCCTCCTTCCTTGCCATTACTCCCTGCAACGTGAACTTCTCCTCAGCCGTGCCGCGGTCCCTCTATCTTTCTCTTTCCCTCTCTCTCTCTTTCTCTCTCTTTCTCTTTCCCCCGCGATCTTTCTACCTTAAGTTCGCTCCATCCGCTCCATCTCGCTTCCCGTAGATCGCGAGCTTGTATGCCTCGTGCAAATTCGCGCACTCGCTCCCCGCTCGCGCGGGTAATCATCGCCCTGTGGTACCACAGCCATGGTCGGACTCTCGTGGCACTCTTCGTTTATAGCGTATAGGATGATGTAGGTCATCAAGAATTAAGAAATGTATACGATTTTTTTGTATATTTTTATATATAAATGTGAGATCTCTCTCATATGATGTTTTTCATGTAGTATATCACGTGTTTCATAGAGTATATTGTAGATAGTTCGTCCTCTGGTTTTTTTTTTTTTTTTTTTTTTTTTTGTTTTTGTTTTTGTAGTTCTCGTTCGTTTTTCTCTATATAGAGTAAGCTTCCAACTAAAGATATTTATTCATTTGAACGGCTCTTCATATTTTACATCATCCTTGTCTGCTTTTCATTTCTCTCAATTCCTCTCCAGCTTTCCTGTGTTTATTTCCCATTCTTTTTCATTCGCAATACACTATTATCCGCCTTCATTCCTTTCTCGTCTCTTTTATTCGCACACTATCCCACATATTGCTCCATCTTGTTATATATTTTATATATCTATTTCTTCAACTTCTCCTCGCATCCGTTCGTCGCAGCTCCTTATTTTACTGCCTTCCCGCGCATTCCAATTTTCTTCATCTTTTCACTCCATTTCCTCATTCGTAACTCTCATGTTTACTCGCTTCTACCCTCCTCGTCCCTCGTTCCCCTCTTGGAAACACATTCCCACGTCGGCTTCCCCATATATTTTCTTCCTGGTGCAGCTACTCTCTTGAAACTTCAGGTGGTTATAAAGGACACCAAAACAAGCCAATTTTGTCGATAAATCCGTGTCCGCAAATGAGCCGTTTTGGCAGTAGAGAATCAAAGAATAACAAGGGCAAAAATCTTTAAAAAACATTATTTTTTCAAAATTTTATTAATGTGGTTAAATAGAGGTGTTTTTACCATGAAGCTTTTGTATAAAATATTTTTTGATATCTCGAATAATTTTCGAGATATATCGAGAAAACCAAAAAGCCGCTTTATATATGAGGGTTGATTTTACCCCTTAGAATTATTTTTGGGTCGCAACTGGAAATTTCTAAATTTATCTATTTATCCCCCCTATATATGTGTAAAGTTTCATGAAAATCAGAATTTTCGGGTTCCCTTGTTCGTCTTTGGTTCTCTTTGCGGACGCGGCTTTATTGGCAAAATTGACTTCTTTTGATGTTCTTTATAACCACTGAAGTTTGTTGGTCTGATTCTGGGATAATCTGTATATGTATGTATATATGTATATGAAAATATAACAAAGAATTGCTCTATTTCTTGGATAGCGGATGAGTGAGAGGACGTGTAAATTCTGATGTTAATTTTTATCAGGAGTTTTCATCGGAATTGTCCGAGATTGGAGATGAAGTTCTTTGGGAGAGTAGTAATTCGATGGAAGCTGCTGGAATTTTGAACGAGAGCACAAACGACGATGTTTCGTGGCAGTTCTCGTAGCGTTCTCGAGGCGGAGGAGGCGCGCTCGCGAGAGCGAGGAGCAGGAAGAGAAAGAGAGAGAGAGAGAGAGGAGAGAAGGGAAGGGGCAGGCCGATGGAATGGAATTCAGCAATCAGTTAGGCATTCGGCTCTAGGATAGCGTGCTCCGGGCGGTATAAATCGCGGCCGTTTGCGCACAGGGATATATATCCGAGGGACGCCTTCCGCCTCCTCTTCGTCTTGTCGTCCCTTCCTTGATCCGACGACGCGCGGCTTTTCTTCCATCTCGCATGATCCTGCCATATCTTCCTCCCCTTGGTGTCCTTCGAGATGACCTTTTGTTTTTTGTCGTGCTAGGAACGGTATTAGGCGTCCCGCTTGGAATGCGGCTGTCGCCGAAGAGCCTCTTCTCGTTCTTTCGTTCTTTTCAATTCCCTTGAAGTAGGTGAAATATCCTAGGTACATAGGATCATCTCAAAAAGTAGGGATACGAGGTGAAGCATTTCAGCTGGAAAGATAAACGAAACGACTGAGAGGAATGAGGCGTAAAAAGCTTGTATTAAAGTTAAATGTATATTGCATTTTAACGTATATATTTTGTATTTTCTTCTATGTCTAAGGAAAAAACTATTAAATTCAAATAGAATTTATTATATATAAAAGATAGCTCGATTCGTATCATAAAATGTTGAATTTTTTAGATTGTAGTCGATAACACAGAATCACCTGCGAATGCATCTTGTATCACATTTGCAAAACGTGAATTTTTTCACATTCTGTTACCGTGCAACTTGCAAAATTTAACCTTTTAATTTAATTGCTCTAATCTAAAGGATAGAGCAATGTCAAGGATCGAACGTATACATCGTGAAAGGATGTATTGACGATTTTATATGTATACACATCAATACATTTACGGAAAAGGATGAAACATCAGGGGACGATGACGACTGGAATCCGAAAGCGGGCCTAAGATTTCCTGTCAGAAATTGACGTCGTTTCGCCGGTCCATGAAAGAAAGTCCATCGAACGAAAAAAGAATGCGCTAGTCCGGAGGTCGTTCGGCCTTCGTGACGGCGACGGCGAAGGAGAAATAGAAAGAGGCGGAGAAAGAGAAGAAGGATGGGGTGAACACAGTCAGGGGAAAAATAAAGCCCCTTTCCGCGGAGCGGACGAACCGGCCCGTACTCGATACCATCTGCGTGCTCCCTCGACAATAATAGTATAGACCGAGAAATATGCGCGCGAGGCGCCGTGGATTCTCTCCGACGTTTCGAGGGCGAAAAGGAAGAGATGATGAGGAAGGGCAGAGGGAGGGAGAGAGGACCCGTGAGGGCACCGTGTGAAGGAGAGCCCCATGGGCGAGCCACTCCGCGATTGGCAGGGAGTGGTGGGGGGACGTGCAACAAGCGAGGCCCTCTGGCCGGGGCCTCTGCTCTTAGATGATCGGAGACACGGCTGATGGGCCAGTAGGGGCCCCAGAAATTCCAACAAGGACGGGGCATAATGCGCGACTCAAGGTCGGTTCTACTACCAACGGCAGGGTCTCGACGGTTGCGCGACCACGTTCAG